ACGATATTAGTGATGTGAAGGTCATGATAACGATATTAGTGATGTGAAGGTCATGATAATGATATTAGTAATGTGAAGGTGATGATAACAATATTAGTGAGGTGAAGGTCATGATAACGATATTAGTGATGTAAAGGTCATGATAACGATATTAGTGTTGTAAAGGTATTGAGAACGATATTATTGATGTAAAGGTCATGATAACGATATTAGTGATGTAAAGGTCATGAGAACGATATTAGTGATGTGAAGGTCATGAGAACGATATTAGTGATATGAATGTCATGATAACGATATTAGTGATGTAAAGGTCATGATAACGATATTAGTGATGTAAAGGTCATGATAACGATATTAGTGATGTAAAGGTCATGAAGACAATATTAGTGATGGGAGGGTCATGATAACGATATCAGTGATGTGAAGGTTATGATAACGATATAAGGTGATGTGAAGATCACGAGAACGATATTAGTGATGTGAAGGTCATGATAACGATATTAGTGATGTGAAGGTCATGATAACGATATTAGTGATATGAAGGTCATTCTAACGATATTAGTGATGTGAGGTCATTATAACGATATTAGTGATGTGAAGGTCATGATAACGATATTAATGATGTGAAGGTCATGATAACGATATTAGTGATGTAAAGGTCATGAGAACGATATTAGTGATGTGAAGGTGATGATAACGATATTAGTGATGTGAAGGTCATGATAACGCTATTAGTGATGTGGAGGTAATGTGAACGATATAAGTGATGTGAAGGTGATGATAACGATATAAATGATGTGAAGGTTATGATAAAGCTATAAGTGGTGTGGAGGTTATGAGAACGGTATACGTGATGTGAACGTCATGATAACGATATTAGTGATGTGAAGGTGATGATAACGATATTAGTGATGTGAAGGTCATGAGAACGATATAAATGATGTGAAGGTTATGATCAAGCTATAAGTGGTGTGGAGGTTATGAAAACGGTATACGTGATGTGAACGTCATGATAAAGATATTAGTGATGGGAAGGTCACGAGGACGATATTAGTGATGTGAAGATCATGAGAACGATATTAGTGATGTGAAGATCACGAGAACGATATTAGTGATGTGAAGATCACGAGAACGATATCAGTGATGTGAAGGTTATGAGAACGATATTAGTGATGTGAAGATGATGATAATGATATTAGTGATGTGAAGGTGATGATAATGATATTAGTGATGGGAAGGTCATGATAACGATATTAGTGATGGGAAGGTTATGAGAACGATATTAGTGATGTGAAGGTGATGATAACGATATTAGTGATGTGAAGGTCATGATAACGATATTAATGATGTGAAGGTCATCATAACGATATTAGTGATGTAAAGGTCATGAGAACGATATTAGTGATGTAAAGATCATGAGAACGATATTAGTGATGTGAAGGTTATGATAACGATATTAGTGATGTGAAGGTTATGATAACGATATAAGTGATGTGAAGGTCATGATAACGATATTAGTGATGTAAAGGTCATGATAACGATATTAGTGATGTGAAGGTCATGAGAACGATATAAGTGATGTGAAGATCACGAGAACGATATTAGTGATGTGAAGGTTATGATAACGATATAAAGGATGTGAAGGTTATGATCAAGCTATAAGTGGTGTGGAGGTTATGAGAACGGTATAAGTGGTGTGGACGTCATGATAACAATATTAGTGATGTGAAGGTCACGAGGACGATATTAGTGATGTGAAGATCACGAGAGCGATATCAGTGATGTGAAGGTTATGAGAACGATATAAGTGATGTGAAGGTGATGATAAAGATATTAGTGATGTGAAGATGATGATAACGATATTAGTGATGTGAAGGTCATGAGAACGATATAAGTGATGTGAAGATCACGAGAACGATATTAGTGATGTGAAGGTTATGATAACGATATTAGTGATGTGAAGGCTATGATAAAGTTATAAGTGGTGTGGAGGTTATGAGAACGGTATACGTGATGTGAACGTCATGATAACGATATTAGTGATGTGAAGGTGATGATAAAGATATTAGTGATGGGAAGGTCATGATAACGATATTAATGATGTGAAGGTTATGATAACGATATAAGTGATGTGAACGTCATGATAACAATATTAGTGATGTGAAGGTCACGAGGACGATATTAGTGATGTGAAGATCACGAGAGCGATATCAGTGATGTGAAGGTTATGAAAACGATATAAGTGATGTGAAGGTGATGATAAAGATATTAGTGATGGGAAGGTCAAAAGGACGATATTAGTGCTGTGAAGATCATGAGAACGATATTAGTGATGTGAAGATCACGAGAGCGATATCAGTGATGTGAAGGTTATGAAAACGATATAAGTGATGTGAAGGTGATGATAACGATATTAGTGATGGGAAGGCTATGATAAAGTTATAAGTGGTGTGGAGGTTATGAGAACGGTATACGTGATGTGAACGTCATGATAACGATATTAGTGATGTGAAGGTCATGATAACGATATTAGTGATGTGAAGGTGATGATAAAGATATTAGTGATGGGAAGGTCATGATAACGATATGAGTGATGTGAAGGTTATGATAACGATATTAGTGATGTGAAGGCTATGATAAAGTTATAAGTGGTGTGGAGGTTATGAGAACGGTATAAGTGATGTGAACGTCATGATAACGATATTAGTGATGTGAAGGTCATGAGAACGATATTAGTGATGGCAAGGTCACGAAGACGATATTAGTGATGTGAAGGTTATGAGAACGATATTAGTGATGGGAAGGTCACGAGGACGATATTAGTGATGTGAAGATCACGAGAACGATATCAGTGATGTAAAGGTTATGATAACGATATTAGTGATATGAAGGTCATGGTAACGATATTAGTGATGTGAATGTGATGATAACGATATTAGTGATGTGAAGGTCACGAGGACGATATTAGTGATTTGAAGATCATGACAACGATATTGGTGATGTGAAGATCTCGAGAACGATATTAGTGATGGGAAGATCACGAGAGCGATATCAGTGATGTGAATATCACGAGAACGATATCAGTGATGTAAAGGTTATGATAACGATATTAGTGATATGAAGGTCATGGTAACGATATTAGTGATGTGAAGGTGATGATAACGATATTAGTGATGTGAAGGTCATGATAACGATATTAGTGATGTGAAGGTGATGAGAACGATATTAGTGATGTGAAGGTCATGATAACGCTATTAGTGATGTGGAGGTCATGAGAACGATATTAGTGATGTGGATGTCATGAGAACGATATTAGTGATGTGAAGGTGATGTTAACGATATTAGTGATGTGAAAGTTATAAGAACGATATTAGTGATGAGAAGGTGATGATAATGATTTCAGTGATGGGAACGTCACAAGGACGATATTAATGATGTGAAGGTCATGAGAACGCTATTAGTGATGTGAATGTCAAGAGGACGATATTAGTGATGGGAAGGTCATGATAACGATATTAGTGATGTGAAGGTAATGATAACGATATTAGTGATGTGAAGGTCATGATAACGACATTAGTGATGTGAAGGTCATGATAACGATATTAGTGATATGAAGGTTATGATAACGAAATTAGTGATGTGAAGGTCATGATAACGATATTAGTGATGGGAAGGTCACGAGGACGATATTAGTGATGTTGAGGTCATGAGAACGGTATTAGTGATGTGAAGATCATGAGAACGTTCTTAGTGATGTGAAGATCATGAGAACGATATTAGTGATGTGAAGGTTATGAGAACGATATTAGTGATGTGAAGGTGATGATAATGATTTTAGTGATGTAAAGGTGATGATAATGATTTTAGTGATGGGAAGGTCACGAGGACGATATTAAGGATGTGAAAGTCAAGAGGACGATATTAGTGATGTGAAGGTTATGAGAACGGTATAAGTGATGTATTGGTCACGAGGATGTTATCAATGATGTGAAGGTGATGAGGACGAAATGTGAAAAATAACATTAAAACAATCAATTGGACTTGATATAAGATAAACCCTATGTTGACCACTTAATTGGTTGCTGATACGCTTGAATAAATCAAAAGAAAATTAAATTAGCGCAGGATTTATATTGAAATGAAAAATACTAGCGATGTAACAAAACAAACAAGGGAGGTAACTATCATAAATATTACAACACTCTACAAACGAACAAAAGGCGCACCAGTCACACAGTCTAAACACTTGACCTTACAAAGTCCGTGTGTCTATACAAATCAATGCACGGTATTCCGTTACTTTAGACTCTGTAGCCTACACATATCAATTTAAATGAATAATAGGGCAATATTAAATTTATATACATAAACAAAGTTAACGACAATCACGTGCTGGATTGAATGTCAGATACGGTCATTAGGGAGTGACAGTGTAAGTTAACTTCCGTGTGCTTTTCATAAAAACAGACCAAAACGTAAAAGTCATAGGAACGATAAGTTTAGGACCGTCTCTATATAACGAAAGTTGAACTAAACACAAAGTGGTCGGATGGTACAGCCGATAGCGCACTCGCCTTTCACTAGGACGACCGCGGTTCAATTCCTCAATCGGATAGGAAAATTTCTCCAGGTTATCTTGTTTCCGCCAACATTTAGACCTCCTGTTTTTTTTGTATCTGGGCCAACACGAGTGATTAATATCAGATACAAAAAATATATTAGTTGCAAAATAAATGGAATAGATATATTTTTAACTGAAATGTGTGAGATCAAGCTCATTTAGTTAAAGGTTGAGGTCAGTATCATTAGGACCTATCTGTTCCTACTGGTCTTTCTAAGGTTCTCCATACATTGTATTTAAAACTGTAAAAGCCATTCCGTATCTGTATGGATTTCTAACAATGTTCCAGATAGTTACATTTAACAAGGAAATTAGATTATCTAAGTCCGTGATTTAACTATGTAGATAAGAACGTTCAAAGGGAACCTGAAGCATCCTGTCGTTGCTAATATCGGGAAGTGTAAGCCCTCCGCGTCCTGTCCGAGCCCCTAGCTTGACTAACATTCTGGTATCAATGTGTCACGGCGCTGGCAGGGATCAGTAGAAGAGGATCCTGTTTACTTTAGTGTTTACACAGTGTAACGGGATAGCACGATGTTTGTCAGTGTACGGTAAGTGTCTAACTTTATATATTACTCCACAAAACACCACTTTTTATTAGGAATGATTTAAAAATTATGGAAGCAATTTAATTTATTCCATTTCTGTTATTGTGGTCAGTCCTCCTTGATTCTCAGCAGCGATACATGATGTACAATGTCATAAAAGCGTGTGTACTTTTAATTTTTAACTACGGTTCAATATTTCTTGTAACATACCTGGTACTCTCAGCTTAACTTTATTTGTATAGATTTGCGTTTGAATGTGGTCAAGTAAGTGGAACNTCGAGAGGAATATCGGTAGTAAATGGACTCTTTCTCCCGACACTTGTACAAACAGTGTAAAATGCCCGGAGCCATACGAAACTCATAGTATGGTGTTAATGCAATGTAGACCGATTTTAAAGCCGGTACTTCACACCCCGGCCTTCCTACAGCAGCTTAGAATTTTAGATAAAGTGATTTTCCCGGTCTACTCAGCAACAATAGCCAGGTGGAGTATAAATGGTCTGTGTACTAATTTATCACTGTATCACTATCAATGCTATACAACGTAACGCAGAAAGGTTTAATTGTATTTGGGTTATCCATTGCATTGAGGTCCGTGGTGATAAGGATTTCTGTTAGCTTATCCAATCACATACGCTGTAATAAGGACTTATGGTTTAGCTTATTCAATCAGAGGCTCGGATTCACATTTTGTTAATTGATAGAATGCAATCGTAAGATCAAAAGTGATGAAGTAACTGAAATTATGGAGTTTGTTTTGATTACTACACGGTAACAGTGATACAGCAGGGGCATAATTAAAAGAAAACGATGTGTATACGCATAATAATTGGCCATGGGTCTGGGAGCCGTGGGGGACTTATTGGGTTTACTCCGTTTCCTCTTCTTGTCTTCCCCTTCTTCTTTTTTTCCGCCTTAAGGTGGCACGGTATAGTCTAGTGGTAGGATGCCGGGCTCGTGACCGAAGGGTTGCGGGTTCGAGTCACGTCACGAAACTGTGTTGTATCTTTGAGCAAGATACAATACTCCGCTTGTTCCAGTCTACTCAATGAGTACGTGGTTAGGCAGTGCTCCCCAGGGAGTTGAGAAAGATATTGGCTGGTTGTAAAGGCCCTATAACCACGGATAATTATTTGTGAACCGCTTTGAGACGACGTTCGAACTAGGTTGTGATGAAGCGGTATATAAGAACCTCCAAATATTATTATTTTTGAAATTTTGTCAGCGCGTTTTCTTAGAAACTATACTTTGGATTCCAATGAAACTTTACATGAGTATTGCGGCATGTGCCTAGATGTGCAAGACACCATTTTTTAATAGCTGTGAATCCAAGATGGAAACCGCGACCTCTGATATGTTAACATATTTAAATGTGTACGCTAAGGTGATGCCATTTGTCCCTCTCTTTTTCCTAAGCTTAGTATGACACTGTCAACTCTACCCTGAAACCTGTTCTGCATCTTTGCGAATATGGGGTCAGTTTGGGTGACTTCTGTGATGGTCTCCTATTACAATTAGAACTTGTTTTGAATGGGATTGCACCAATTTACTGACTATAATTGTACTCGACTGTTTCTTGCTGTTTGGCCATTGACTATTCACCTGTGGTCAAATGGAATTCTGATTAGTTGTACCTGATCAAGGTCACCCTGTGTGATTTAAAGGCAATTAATTCCATGTCAATTGATCTAGTTTTTTGTCTGTCCACCAGATACAGCTGTATCAGTACACAGTATAAAACCTACATGTAAGATGCTTTGGCTGTCCTTTGGTCAGGAAATGACAGCCCGAGGCACAATTTCATTCCACAACAGTGCCTTTACCAAGGTAACCTAATATTGTGCTTGGAACTACTTATTCTAATGCAAAAAAAAAAAATGTATGTATGTCCCTCAAATAGGATATTTAGATTATCATTTAGATCGGAGACGTATTACAGATATAGGCAACGACTACACTAAGGACGCGAACCGCAGCGCTGTGGCAGCTTGTCCGCATCTGAGGAGCCGTCCTACTTTGGATCATGATCTAGATGGGCTTGGGACACTTAGAATCTCAGAGGGCCTGGTAAGGGGAAACGTATATTACCCCCTCACGTCTGCCGAACACAGACTTTGGTCAGTTATGCAAGAGGATAAATCAGTCAATCAAGTAGCCAACAACTTGCTCTTTGCCTTACGATTGGTCATGATAACCGGATGACATATCCAATATGGTGTATCTGAAGCGTAACTCGCGATATACGTTTCAGTGCATTCAATTAACCTGTAAAATTCAAACCATAAGTATGCCGTGAGAAAACATCGAAAATCAACGTATATATTGAAATATATTTTAACCCGTTGGTAGCTGAGATTTCCATGCGGTTTGTGAGTGCCCCATTAAATTTAACTTTAATAATTGAGTTCGGAAAAAACACCTGAAAATGATTGATTGCAAATGTAAGCTCGTGGTTGTGTTAACATATCAGTAATGATTCTGGCTACATGAGAACACGTACTCCTTTACAGTTTAGACTATTTCAAAAAAAAAGACTTAATATATTGTTCATTTAATAATATTTCTACCCAGCTTCTTAATATGAGCATGTTACAATACATGCTTGAAACGTTAGTAATTTAGCTCTGAAAAGACGGGTTTTTTTTCGGAATAAACGAGTCAAATATCGTGAAGATGGCGGTGGCGATGAGGACGGTGGTGATGTAACACGGTGCCATTATCTGAAATTCTATGATATGTTGGGGCGGTAGTTAAATTGTACTACTGATTGGAGATTCTTTATTGTGTATACTATCGTCATGTATATTTTTAGGGCTGAGGGGTGGTATGCCATATTCTATGTATTTTTATATATATTTGTTCCCAAACAGGCCACCCCGCGTCATGCTTGATTGAGACGCATCCCAATGCCCCATAATCTGCCCATGGTCACTTTCCACTGTCTGCCATTTTACTCATTTTAGTTATTTTTGTCATACCTAATGCTGCCAATGAACTTTAGATTTAAGTTTTGTGTCACCTTTTAAACTCTCGTAATTTTATTTGTTTTACTGTGATATGAGCGGCCTCAAACTCAGCCTTTATCTTCGGAAAATGTTGCCGGGAAAATCCGCTATTTTGTTAAATGAATGCGCCGATGTTTAATAACAAAAAAAACACACACACACTCTGCCAGTGTGTAATATTAGTCCAAGAGCTTTTATACTACCTCTGATGCCATCCTTCATTGATTAACACAGACTGTCACCTGTGTGTGTTTATATATACCGGTTACTCTTGAGTCGCCCGATGATCTATAACACCTCCACACTCTAACTACCTATGGGTGATGTCATATAAGCTCATTTGGCTGGCCCAGTACTGGGCTGAACCTGATAACGATACTTTACTTAAATACATATACCACGCATCAGTTCAGACACACCAGTGATGTGTTTTATCGGTCTCTAACTCACTACTATACATTTCGAAATATCATACTAGACTTGATAGCTAGAACATAATTCTTATTTATATACAATTCTTAATATTTAGAATCGGACGGCACTCCTACAATAGCTTGGACCCAATAGTGGGGTGGTGAATCTCAGTTTCTAATTTTATTATACATGCTGATCTACCATACTATATTATATTAGTATTAATTTAGATATAACTATTAAAATCCATATAGCGTATCTACATTAGCTTAGAACTGCTAGTGGCGTCGTATTTCATAGTATTTATATTTATTTTCATACAACTATATTAGTTCATTATATTACTATAGTACCTAAACCTAGAATAGCATCCATACTTCTACTCCGAAATTATTTTCTTGTACTTAAATTCGTAACGACGTCATGGCTGTGTAAATTAGACAATTGGCAAGGATACGCAAACCTGCTCCTATGTTCTCTCCCTAAGCCAGCATGAGGGTGCATACAAGAGCCACAACTGTCGACTTTGAGTTCAACATAGGTAAAGCAGATAGGCAAACGAAAAAGGTAGCCTACAGGAAATCTACAAAGATTGAGATAAAGGCAAGAAGTAACCTGGTTATGACATTACTTGCTGCTGTGTTCGAAGCTATGAGAATCGTTGTAAAGGACAGAATCCCAACCTGAAAATTAACAAAACTAATACTCAACAATCAGGTGGAACAGCAAGTCTGTTTCTGTTGTTGGTGAGAATTCAGCCAATCAGTTGTATAGAATAAATCTGCGCCTACCGACATCTGCCATCTCCATGAACGGAAAGGCGCTATATATCTTCATGAAATACCATCTATCAAACATATTCAACAAGATTAACACTATGGGAAACTATTAGGAAACCAATCATGTTATAATGAGCAGTGTGCATATATGATGGTAGAATGGGAAAGGTTAAACAAGGATGGTACATTGTAAAAACCAATACAAGGCCACCCTATAGCCGACATAGCCCTACTGGCAAAAACAACCCAGTGCTCAACACGATTCCTTCCCAGAACTGACCCTGCACCTGACACCGATATTGCTTTTCCGGCCAACACGGTGGTTTCGAAAACCGACCTGGCTCCGGACGAGGCAGTGTCACTTAGCACAGTTCCCCAGAAGAGCAATGTTAAGGATAAGAAACAGTGTTAACGCCATACCCGATAGCGACATCCGGGGGATACTCGTACGGTTCCCATTACCGATCTGACTCCCGATACATTCCCTCAGATTGGTCAACCTACCTCCGCTATCTCTTTGGGAAGAAACCAAGGACAATCACCAATTGAGACACTACAAGTTGATGCACAGAAGACACAAACAGATGTTATCACTCCAATACCACTTCAGCTACAAAAGACACATTGTATCACAATCAGACTCCCAGACAGATAGTAGTTCAGTCAATTACAGCACCTTGGGGAACAAGGAGAAACAACCCAAAAAGTGGGAAGAGCAACTTAAGCTGGAATATATGAAGCAGGACAACCTGCTAAAGGAATGCGTCGGTCTAAAAGCATATTTTATTCGACTTTTAAGAAACAT